CTAACATCATTCCGCCGCTGGCGCCCGCAGAGAAAAAGAGAGGGGGGGGGGGGGGGGGGGAGGGGGGGTGGGTGGGAGGGAGGGAGGAAAAAGAGAGAGGGAGAGAACAAAAGGTTAGAATGAAAAGAATGAGCACGCAAAGAGTAAATTAAAAGTACGCTGTAACCATTTGGGCTTTTCTATGTCCACCCCAGTCCCCAAGTAATGCCACAGAGGCTTGTTTATCTATGAATTATGCCTAGGCCTTAAGCTGGGCTTGTTCCCCAACTAGCTCATAACTCAATTAACTCATTTATACTACTCTATGTCTGTCATGTGGCTGGCTATCTCTCCTCAGTTTCCTATGTCTGACTTCCTCCAAGTCTGGGTGGTAAATCCTTCCCAGAATTCTTCTATGTCAGATGTCCCACCTTCTATTCTATCCTGCCTTGCTATAGAATATGCATCTCTTTACTGACAGGTGATATTTTTATACAATCCACAAGAGTTTACCCCTACAGTACAGAGTAATCTTGTAGTCCCAGCACTTGAGAGGCTGAGGCAAAAGGACAGTCATATGTTCAAGATCAGCCTGGATTACATAAGCAATAGTCCAGGATAGGCTACAGAAGGAAACCCTGTCTCAAAAAATCAAAAAGAAAAATTGGAAGTAACATTTGCATGAGCCACCCAACATTGCTTGTCAGTTCTATCAGAAAAAGCAATTTGGTGCCTGCTTTGGTACGAGCACTTCACTAGGGAATATCTGCTCTTACCTGGTGAGATGCTATAAAACCACAAGCACATGGAACAATGTGAAGAAGGATAAAATTATCTCACCAAAGGAAAATATCAATGTCATAGCTAGCCACTTATCTCACTATCCACCAGGCATTTCATTTTTAATATCTTTAATTATGCTCTGAAATATTTATTTATTGAGAATGTAAACTGGAATAGTCACTATAGAAATCAGTGGCTTAAAAATTAAAAATAGAATTCCCGTATGATCCCACTATACCATCATATGCATACCAAAGGACTCCATATGCTACCACGGAGATGTACGCTCATCTGTGTTCATTGTTTCTCTATTCACAATAAGAAAATGAACTCACCCTACATTTATTTAATGGTAAATGTAAACAAAAAAAATTATTCGGCTATAAAGAAAAATTATATTCCCAAGAAAGTAGATGGGAATGAAAAATAGTATATTAACTAAGGTGATACAAACTCAGAAAGACAAACGCCATGTTTTCTTTCATATGTGGATCCTAGCTTCTAATTTTTAATATATGAATCATTTATATGGGTAAATTGTAGAGGCCAAAACCTAGAAAGGGGTCTACAAGAAAGGGAAGCCTTTTCTTTCTTCTATTTTTCATTTATTTATTTATTTATTTATTCACTTTACATTCCGATCTCAGGCCCAACCTCTCCTCTCAGTCCCTACCCCTAGGTAGCCTCTCCAACTATCACTCATCCCTGGGAAGCTTTAAGAGAGGTAGGAGTAGAAGGCGGCACATTTGAAAGTGGAAGGGGGAACACTGCTCCATTTTGTCCCCATTGCCATTTCAATATTTTCAGTTCTCAGTGTTCAAAGAAGTCTAAATGATTCAAAAAAATGTATAATACTATTAGTCACTAGTAAAATGCAAATGAAAATCAAAACCACAATGACTTACCACTTTATACCTACTAAATTGGCTATTAAATATACACTCACACACACACACAAACACAAAATGGAGTTAGAGAGGCAATGGCTCAGTCAGTAAAAGGCTTGTCTCACAGCATGAAGACCTGAGTTTGAGTCCCCACAACCCATGTGAAAATCCTAGACTTCATGGTGTACACTTGTAATCCCACTCTGTAGAGGCAGAGGCAGGAGAACCCCTGCAGCTCACTGGCCAAACAGGCCAATGAGATACTGTCTCAAAAAGAGAACATTCCTAAGGATGATACCAAAGGCTGAGGCTCTCCTCTGACCTCATGCTTCTACACGAACACATAAACACATATGCACCAACACAAAAATATACACAGACACACACATGCACTCCCTCCACCCCAAGATGTCTCAAAACAGGGAATGGAGGCTATTCAGAGGTATATACAAGCCATCAAATAAGTTAATACACATAAAAAGAACAAGTAAGTCAAGCATATTGGACTTGGGAGGCTAAGGTATCAAATTGGAGACCAGCTTTGATTTAAAAATAAAATCTTATTCACGAGAAAAAGGAAAGAAAGAAAAAGAAAATAACAGTATTAAGAGCTAGAAACTAGAACCTCCTACATTGCCAATATGCATACAGGTTGGTAGAGCTATCTTTAGAATGTATTAGGCATCTTGTTGGTATTTATAAAGACAGTCACAGGGGCTGCTGAGATGGCTCAGTATTTAATCGAGTTTGATTCCCAGCATCCACATATAGGGCTCACAACCATCCATAACCCCAGTTCAGGGGATTTAATGCCCTGCTCTGGCCTCTGTAGGACTATATGCACACAATGCACAGATACACATGCAGGCCTAACACCCAAACACAGGAAAAAAGTTAGTTTAAAAAATAAAGTTAGTCAGAGTTGCCATGTGATACAGAAGCACATTTAGCATTTTCCCCAAGAAGTTCTTTTGTTGAAGACTTGTTCCTCAGCTGCTGAGTCTAAATATTGTGAGGGTATTAATCTCATCAATGGTGACCCACTGATGAGTTCATACTGAACGAGGAAGTAGGTGGCTCAGGCCATAATTCTGAGGCATATGCTTGCCTTGACCCCTCCTGTCTGTCTCTAGCTTCCTGTCAACTGCAAAATGAGCTAATTTGCTCCACCCCAAGCTTCCCACCATGACAGTCAACTCTGCATAATCACGCTTCCTGTCATGTACAGGTTAGCCTCTAGACCTCAGCAATAAACAGCTAAGGATTGAAATTTCTGAAGCTGTGACTGAAATAAATCCTTCTTCTTTTAAGTTGTATATCTCAGGTATCTGTCACAGACATGAAAAGTAAAAATATGGATATAGCCGGGCAGTGGTGGCACACACCTTTAATCCCAGCACTTGGGAGGCAGAGGCAGGCAGATTTCTGAGTTCGAGGACAGCCTGGTCTACAGAGTGAGTTCCAGGATAGCCAGGGCTACAGAGAAACCCTGTCTCGAAAAAACAAAACAAAACAAAACAAAAATATGGATATATATATACAAGAGAGCTTCCATCTTAGAAAAACTTGTACATAGATGTCTATGGCAGGTAGTGTTTTTTAATAATTTTTTAGATGTGTTTGTTTTATTATTTTGTGTAAATGAGTGTGTAGTTATTATTCGGCTACTTTGTGGGTTCTTCTCTCTTCCATCCTTCTCCACTCTTTCTCTTCTACCCTTTCAACTTCTTAACCCTAGATAAGAGAGAAAAAGGGCGGAGTGGAAAAGAAAGGGATCCCTGAATAAAGTCTGGGGTAGGAAAGGGGACTATGTTATCACAAGACTACTTCCTGCTGATTATGGGTGTTGAGTTCCTTGGGGCAAGTTTGATCTTCACTGTCAGGATATCTAATTTCTTGTTGTTGTTTCTTCTTTGGGCATAACTACTTAACAAACATCGACCAACAACAACCCAACAATATTTACATACCCTCTGAAAAGTCCTCAGAATTCCAAATATCACACAATCGCAGAAACTATCTGCAGCTGGCAAAATTAAGCTTCTGCTAGAGCATGAGGCAAATCAGAGCCAAAGCAGCCCCATATCCCCACACCTGGTATCAAAAGGAAACCATATTCCCACAATATTTCTGGTTTTCAAAGAACCAAAACTCCAAAATTATCACAACATGAGTATTTTGTGTATATGGGTGTGTTTGAGAGGACCCAGGTCCTCTAAAAGAGCAGCAGCAAATGCTCTTGAGCCACTGACCTAATTCTCCAGCTCTGGGTTTTTGTTTATTTTGAGGGAAGAGGTTAGTTTAGACAGGAAGTCAAGCTAGCCTGAAACTCATGTCTCAGCTTCCCAAGGACTAAGATTACAGGCATGTACAGGCAGCATTATTTATAACACATTAAAGATATAAACAGTCCAAATACTCACAATTGATGTAATAAAAAAAAAGTATAGTATTCTTATACAATGGAATATTATTGTTCAATCATGGAAGGGAGTAAAGAACTAATGAATGCTGTAAGAGAATTAGGATGAATGGAGGAGGCCAGACCCAAAAAACAAGTATCATTTCACTTGTATAATATAAACAGACAACTCCATGGGGAGATGTAATTGAGAGGTAGAATATTTGCCTAGCATACACTCAGCACTAGACTCAATCCCCAATACCAAAAAAGACAAGAAGGCAGGGAATGGGAGAAGGTGACAGAAAGAAAGGGAGGAAAAGGACGGTGAAGTGCAAACATACTTGGTTCTCCAACCAGGCTGTACCTCCTGAAGCTCAGTCAGTAGTAAATGAGTAGAGACAAGGAGCTGGGAGAAGATGGAAATGGGACGTGCCTGCTAACAATACCAGAGGCCTCTTTTGAGGACATGAAATGTAAGTCAGATGGTGATGAAACCTATTCAGCTTTATGTTTATACTAGAAACCACGGAATCAGACACTTCCACAGGATAAATCCTGAATCATCAGCATGATATCCAATTGAACAAAAGCACACAATCACATGTGTCCCCTATCTAGAAAAATGAGACTAAAGGGGAAACAACAGGACTTACTGGAAGCTTTCTGAAGAGCAGAAGCTATATGTGTGCTCAACATTGATAGAAATGGTCTCGTCACAGACTAACACAGTAAATTTCCAAACCACTTTTTTATTGTCATCTTTGAAACAGGGTCCCACACTTTATAGCTCATGCCAGCCTCAAATGTGTGTCAATCTTCCTACCTCAGCCTGTTGAATGTTGGGATTACAGGCACAAGTCACTATGCCAAGCTCTTTTATGTACATTTTAAGAAGCCCAGGTGCACCGGGCAGTGGTGGCGCATGCCTTTAATCCCAGCACTTGGGAGGCAGAGGCAGGCGGATTTCTGAGTTCGAGGACAGCCTGGCCTACAGAGTGAGCTCCAGGACAGCCAGGGCTACACAGAGAAACCCTGTCTCGAAAGAAAAAAAAAAAAAGAAGAAGCCCAGGTGGCCTCTAAGTTGTGACCTAAGACGTATGAACAGTCAATACAGCTCTAATAGTTGCTTTCTTTTGTTTTACAACACTTTTGTTTAACATCAGAGTGCTTTTTTCCACTAAAGGAATTCAAAGACAGAAGGAAGGTTTGAGTGAGTAGTCAGTTTTACAAAGCAAACATTTTTATAATAAAATATATATTGATACCTCCTCCCTGCATCAAGCTTTCTACTTAGTAAAGGATCTAAATAAGTACACTGTAGGATCTACTGTCAAAGTAACTCAACAGGAAAACAAAGCAATTCCATTAGGAGATAGGAGTTATCATGGACTTAAAAGGATCTCATTTATTTTCTGATTAGAGTAACACAGCATATATTAAAGTTCTCATCTAGAACCAAGCAAGATAGTGTGCACCTATGTGTGGGGGATGAGGAAGTCAAGCTTGTGAAGGAAAAAGTAGGATGGAGAGCGAGGCACCACAGGCTCCAAGACTCCTCTAAGAGTCCTGATCTGCCACACACAGCATAGATCTAAGATTGCTCCCAGAACACCAGTGAGACAGCAAAGAAGAACTGAGGCCAGGGCAAAGCTACTTCCCTTGTCTTCATGTAAGTCCTAACAGGTGAGGATACTCTCCCCCACCCCACACTTCTTCAGAGTAACCTCATCAGGCATGGCTTTCATTGGAGGACAGTGATGATGTGGTGAGATACGATTGGACAGGGATTAGGGGCTTGGGATTGGCTCAAACACTGTATATAAGCTTATATGCTGGGCAATCAACGCAGATCTGCACCCTAATGCTAGTCTCCAGAGTCAAATTTCCCACAATTCGTCACATGACTCCATTACCTCTCCCCACATCTATGAACCCAGAACACAGGCAGCTGAAGGAGGATTCTCAGGATTCAAGGCCAGCCTAGGGTACCTACTAAGTTCCAAACCAGCCTGGCAAACTTACAAAAAAAAAAAAAATCCGATCTCAAGAAAACAAAATAAATATAAATTTTCATTTGGTTATTCTGTTATAATGTCTATGTCTTTTCTTTCTCTTTCCTTCTTTCTTTCTTTCTTTTAACATCCTTACCTTTTTCCCACATGGCTTCTTCACAGTGAAAACTTCACTCCACATCTGAATCCCAGTAGTTTCTGGATCAGAGCCTCCTCGCCATGAAAATCCTGTCAGTGGTTCTTCTGGGTCACCCAACCAATTTGAATGACCACCTTCCTTCTACAAGAGAAGTAAGATGTTCTGCTACATCTTTGGTTTCACTTTCAGAGGCACTGAGAATAAAACACAGGGCCTCAAACATGCTAGGCAAATTCATGACCACTATACCACATAACCTGACTCCTCACCAAATCTTATGTAATTTTATACATCAAGGACAATGAGTGAGCTTATTTTTCTCACTTCCTACTTTGAAGTTAACTAAATCTTCCTTACCTGAGAATATAAGTATCGCAGCATGAAGTCCAGAATGAAAGATTTGCCTTTTCGAAAAGCACCAGCCACTGATACTACCACCACATCAAGATCTCGGATATGGTCTTGGAGGAGGATGCTGGCCAAGGCTCTCTCTTCTAGCTCAAAGGAATGTTGCTCTTTATGAACCAAAACAACCTGCACTGGACCAGGTTTTCCATTCTCCATGGCATCACCTATACTCATTTAAAGACCAGAAAAAAAAATTAAGTTTCACACACACATACACTATAAAGAGAACAAAAGCTTTCATAAGACACATAACATATACAATAACCGTAAAAGGAGGATATGGGAGTACTACTAGAACTTCATCCACACTAAGAATATTTGTTAATTAAAATATCCCAGGGGCCTGCAAGATGGCTCATTGGGAAAAGGTGCCTGCTGTCAAACCACACAATCTGAGTTCAATCTCGAGGACTTACATTCTGAAAAGAGAGAACCAATGCCCAAAGCGTTCTCTGATTCCCACACAGAATGTATGTGCTGATGTGCTAGAATACACACACACACACACACACACAGAGAGAGAGAGAGAGACAGAGATAATTGTTTTTAAAAAAATTAAAAGGTCCCAGTAAGAGCAGAAACTGCAGACTTATAACTTGTTAGAGTGCTGAGAATAAAGGGCTATTTAATGCTCATTCAGCCTCCCCTGCCAAGATTTACAGATCATCACAGAAGACAAGGTAGAAAGAATGTTAAGAGCTGAAGGAGCATGGAATTGTCTTCTCAGAACATGGTATCCCCACTACTACACTCTTCATCTCATTGTAGTTATGGTTACCAGTACAACGACCTGACAAGACTGGATCTGTCGGTACCCTGTCATAGGAGAAAAAGCCCATGAAGGGATACTCCCACTGAAGACCAACAGACAGATAACGGTAGCTAAGGGGAGGGGCTCATGAGAACAAACCTCTCCTTGAGTTATATCTATAGTCAATTAATGATCACTGGGAGACAGAGAGACATTTTCTTCAGTGATAAGTCTCACATTCCTATACACATGCTTTACCCAGGACTATGTAAATAATCCTAATAAAGCTCAAGCGATCAAAAAAAATAATAAAAGCAGTAAAGGAGAAGAGGAACTAAGTGGAAAGAAGAAAAGAATCAATGGGAGATGGATGGAGTAATGAGGTGAACCCAATGAAAGTACATTATGCTCGGGGTTAGTGAGATCTATCAGCAGGTAAAAGCACTTGTCCTGTAAGTCCAAATGATGACCAAAGTTCAATCTCCAAAACTCACATAAAAAGCCAGATGCAACAGAATTAATTCCAGCACTCTATAGAGACAGAAACAGAACTACTGGGGAGCTCAAGGGCCAGCTAGCCTAGACTATGCAATATAGCACCAGAAACAAGAACTACCTGGCCAAACAGAAAAGCAGGAACTTGTTTAGGTTTGGTCTTTTGCTATATATTATAATGCTAAATACTAGCACCCAAGGCGAGGAAGCCTCCCCCCAAGGATGCCTTAGACTCAAGTGATGCTATGTGACCTTGCCCCCAAGTTAGCCCTGATTAGTGAATAATGATGCCTACAGCCTATAGCTGGGAAGAATTGAGATAGGCAGGGCTTGGGGGGGTCCCAGGCTTGGGGTCTAAGGAGAACCACGAGAAGGGGAAAGAGAGAAGGAAAATGCCATTCATTAAGTCATAAAAGCATGGCCATGAGGGCTAGCCAATTGAAGTTTAGAGCAGCCCAGATGGAACATGGTGAATTTTAATTTGGGGTTACTAATGGGGAAAAGATTCTAATAGGGTAGATATCTGCCCAGCTATAGTGCTGATTAAGGCTTATTATAACAATAAAAGCTGTGTGTCCTTTATCCAGGAACTGAATGATCAAAGGTGGGGGAGAAGCCCCCGATTGAGATGAAATAATTTCTACAACAGGAACTCATTCTCTTAATAGAAAGAACAGATTTTGAAAACTGTCCTGTGGTTTCCACATGTAATATATTAACACATATTCATTATACATAATAATCGGTTTCCTGATGGCATTTTCATACATATATAATGTATTTATAAAAAAAAAAAATTTGAGACGGTCTCACTGTGTAGCCCTGGCAGGATGTAAAGTGAAGAAGTAAAAATAGTAAAATTTAATTTTAAAAAGATTCCTTAATTAAAACCTTAGTGGGCCGGGCGGTGGTGGCGCACGCCTTTAATCCCAGCACTTGGGAGGCAGAGGCAGGAGGATTTCTGAGTTTGAGGCCAGCCTGGTCTACAGAGTGAGTTCCAGGACAGCCAGGGCTACACAGAGAAACCCTGCCTCGAAAACCAACCCCTCCCCCCAAAAAAAAACCTTAGTGGTTTATCTCGGCAGTGGTGTGCATACTTGTCTAGAAAACTTAGCATATATAGTACTAAACAGAGAGAGAAAAAAATCTTGCCCTCATAGAGGACATTGGAAAAAAAAATAAATTATGAAAACTTAAGAGTCCTGTTCCTTACCAGCATGCCCTTTCCCTTTTCCACCTAGCAGTCATTATCTTGGGGCTGAACTCTTTTTTTTTTTTTTTTTTTGGTTTTTTTGAGACAGGGTTTCTCTGTGTAGTCCTGACTGTCCTGGAACTCACTCGTTAGACCAGGCTGGCCTGGAACTCAGAAATCCGCCTGCCTCTGCCTCCCACGTGCTGGGATTAAAGGCGTGCGCCACCACCCAGCGGGGCTGAACTCTTATACTTCTTTACATATTAAGTATTTATCATAGCCAGGCAATGGTAGTGCATGCTTTTAATCCCAGCACTCAGGAAGCAAAGGTAATCAGATCTCTGAGTTTGAGGCCAGCCTGGTCTACAGAAGGAGTTCCAGGATAGCCAGAACTGTCCTGAGAAACCCTGTCTCAAAAAACTAAAATATAAATACTAAATACACCATGAAGACAGCCACATTAAAAGCTATCAAAATTACAAAGTATATGGATGCACCTCAGTGGAAGAGGCCTGCCTATGCATAAAGCCCTGTGTTCTACCCCTAGCAACACAAAAATACAAAATAAAACAACTTATGAACTGATAGCTCAAAGCTAAGTTTCCATCCTGTAAGTACTTTCACTATTCCCCATACTACCCTGACTGTTCTCATCCTGCTTGTAAAATTCATTCTCAATGGTACAGGGAGAGAGCTAGGGCTCAAGTCTTATCTTGTCCTGTCTTAACGCCACAATTTCAAGTAGATGACCTATGCAACTACTTATTCCCAAGGCCTGAAATGCTTCTTGCTCTTGATCTAGACTTCAATATTCAACTACCCTGGTCTGGATCACCCACTCCATCCTTTGAGTACTTAGTTTTCATTTTTATCCTATTGTGTGCGTCTGTGTGTGTGTATGCTTGTACTGGTGTCTAGTTACATATATAGACATAAGAGAAAAATTTCTACCATGTAGGTCTCAGGGGTTGAACACAGGATGACAGGCTCAACAGCAAGCATTTTTACCTGGAAGCTATCTAACCTATCCTCTTAAATAGTATGATAAAATGAATAAAAAATAAGCTCTAGTATCAGGACAAGGCCTGAATTTTGGCTTTCTCTACTCTAAAACATAAGTTCTATGAGGGTAGGATTTTTTTTGTCTTTTGTTCAATGCTATGTCCTCCAAGTTCCCAGAACAATGCCCACAAACAGCAGACAATAAAAACTGACATAATCAACACCTATGACTCTGTCTCAATGTAACTCTAGAAAACAATCACTTCAGCCTCCATTTTGTAATATTTATTTATTTATTTATTTATTTATTTATTTATTTATTATGAGCACATTGTAGCTGTCTTCAGACACACCAGAAGAGGGCATTGGATCCCATTATGGATGGCTGTGAGTCACCATGTGGCTGCTGGGAATTGAACTCAGGACTTCCAGAAGAGCAGTCAGTGCTCTTAACCACTGACCCATCCCTCCAGCCCCAGCCTCCATTTATATCCAGCTGCAAGAAGAGGGAAGAGTAAGAACAACGAACGGTTGATTCCAACCCAAACTATGCTATGCTTGCTATATTATCTGTTCAAGTCTAGGATGGCCTATACACAGAGAAGCTATTTCAAAAAAAAAAAAAATCTAAAGGCTAAAGCATAGCATCTGACATAAATCATAAATTAGGTGTTCAATAAATAGTTTCCCTTCCCATATTCCTATTTCCACTGAGATGTGCAGATACTATTACTTCATTTGTTACAATATTATCTGACTATAATTAAGAGAAATCAGGTAGAGACTAGTTGCACATGCCTGCAATCCCTCACTCAAAAGGCAGAGTCAAGAGAATCAAGCTTTTTAGGCCAGCTTCAGAAACATAGGGAAACAAAATATAGTCCGGACTACATGAGACTCTATCCCCCCTCCCAAACAAACAAACAACCTTCACAAATAAATTTAGCAACCAGACTAGGATCTATAACCTGGCAATCTTAGAACTAGGGAGGATTGAAAATTTGAGGAAGCAGACCTAGGCTACACAGAGACCCTGTCTCTCCCTCCTCTCTTGCAGGGGGGTGAGGGGGGGGAGGAATAGCAACTTAAAACCTCTATTCAGGACAAATCTTAGCATGCCCTTTGGCATCTCCCTGCAGAAGTTCTTTTCTTTCTTCACCCTCAGTGGCTGATTTACACCAATGCTCTTCTGTAATCTCCTGTAGTTCTTACTCTCTCACGGAGCTTTTTGGGAGAAACAGAGGGTCTCAAAATCAAAATGTAGCCAAGGCTTAACTTGAACTCCTAATCAGGAGTTCCTCTACTTCCCAAGTGCTAGGTAGGGTTACAGGCATAACCACTATGGCCAGTTTCGATGGCTCTTTATTTTATAATTTTAACTCTATGCTCAGTATTTACCATTTTCCTTTCTTTTTCTACCCTGTATTTTGATGCTCTAACTCTCCTCCTAACTTCTATCTAACCTCTGAAGTGACATGTTCAAAGGCCCTAAGTACAGAGTCACTAAATGTTCCACTCATTCTAGCAGGAGGGATATGTGCAAACACACTTACCTGAAGAGTCAGGAGGTAAGTCTTTATTCCAATTCTACCACTCAGCCTGTGTGATCTGACTGGTTTATCTCCAGTCTCCTTTCAAAACTCCCCAGTGGTAACATTTTACAAGTCTACCCTTAGTATTTCAAAATGGTTCCTCTCAATTACTCCATCTCTCTCAAGTCCTCT